AGTGTTCCCTAAATTTGAGTATGTTTCAGTCATCATTTCTTCAAGTAGTGTTTGAACCGCACTCTTCCTTTCGTCTTTATGGGACTTTGTGTGAATGTTGGATCTTTTTTTATTGTCCTGTAGTACCCTAAAGCTACTACTTTTTTCAGTTTGTTTTCTTCTCTTGTTCAGATTGGGTGAATTCTAATTTTCTGTCCTCAAGTTCAACGATTCTCTTCCCTGTCATTTCCATTTTTTTTCCCCCCTGAAACAGGGTGTGGCTCTGTCACTCAGGCTGGAGTTAGTGGCACAATCTTGGCTCACTGCAACCTCCACCTCCCAGGCTCAAGTCATCCCCCTACCTTAGCGTCCTGAGTAGCTGGGACTACAGGTGTAAAGCCACCACGTCTGGCTAATTTTATATTTTTTGTAGAAATGGTGTTTCGCCATGTTGCCCAGGCTGGTCTTGAACTCCTGAGCTCAGGTGATCCACCCGCCTTGGCCTTCCAAAGTGCTGGGATTACAGGCATGAGCCACCATGCCCAGCCCATCTCTATGTTTTTATTGAGCCCACCTTAAAAATTTATTGTAATTTTTAGTTACTTTTTTCTTCTTTTTAGTTTTTATTTGCTTATTTATTTTATTTAATTTTTTTTCTAGGTAGGAGTGCAGTGGTGTGATCACAGCTCACTCTCACTCTGACCTCCCAGGCTCAAGCAATCTTCATACCTTAGCCTGGCAAGTAGCTGGGACTACAGGTGTGTGCCACCATGCCCAGTTAATTTGTAAAAATTTTTTGTAGAGATGGGGTCTCACTGTGTTACCCACGCTAGTCTTACAACTTCTGTTTCTTTGCTGAGATTTTCCATTTTTTCACTTGTTTCTGGGTAATGTATAATTGTGGAAACATTTTTATTATGGATGTTTTGTGTTTTTTTCACTTGTTGCGGTAGAATTTGTTAATATATTGTTGAAACTTTTGCTTAAAAATTCTTGTCAAATTCCAGCATCTGATTTACTTCTATTTTGGCTTTGGTTGATTTTCTTTTCTCATTTATGGTGTGATTTTCTTAGGTGTTTTTTTGTTACATCATGGACATTTTATCTGTTATCTTAGAAGGCTCTGGGCCCTATTTACATTTTTATTTTAGGAGTGGGCTGTGGTTCCAGTGGCAGTTTAATTTTTAGAGACTTTGCAGTCTACTTGGTTTGTTTGATCCTACTGCAGTGCCCACTGGAAGGGGTTTCCCCATGCTGGGTTTCTGGTTGTCTACAGATGGGAGAGGATTATGGTGGGACCCACCTACTGGTCTCTTCTTTTCTCCCCTGTCCTGGTAACTTCGGGCAAGTGAAGAGGTTCTTGGCCCAACCTGAGCCACTTGCTATGGCTGGGTCCATGAATTTCTCCTACTTGCTTCTCCATCTCTAGGTGGAAAACAGAGTCTCAGGCCAAGTAAGGAAGAAGAGTGCTTCCTGTGGTCTTTATTGTCATTTGGGCTTCCAGTTGATCTCCTTCTCCTGATGTTTTCAGGACAACATCAGAGAGTTGTTGCCGTTTGTTTTCGGGGAGGAATCTTGACTATCTGAGCTACTTTCTTTTGCTAGATTGGTGGTTGGGAAATGTCAAGTCTGGGTTGTCTTCTTCTGTTGGGTGTGAGGACATGAAACACTCTGCTGCTCTTTTGTTTCTCCATTCCTTGGGTCCCAAGTTGGTTTACTGCCTTTTTACCACCTTTGGATTTTCCTTTGCTTGTTATTTCAATGGTTTACAGTTGTGCTTCGTGAGTAGTGGCAGTAGGAGAACAGATCTAGGCCATTTTGTCTGAACTGGAAGTTGAAGTCCCTGCATCATCTCAATCCAGCGAGTTATTTCAGCATTGAAAATAATGGTATATAATTATGTGTTTTGTGAACTTAAAATTTATTTTTAATTTTTAATTTTTGTGGGTACATAGTAGGTTATATATTTATGGGGTACATGAGATATTTTGATACAGGCATAATAATCACATCATGGAAAATGGGGTATCCATCTCAAGCATTTATCCTTTGTATTACAAACAATCCAATTATATTATTTTAGTTATTTTAAAATGTACAGCCTTGTTTACTTTTAAGCATTATGTAAAATGCGTGTTTCACTTATAAACCACACTGTCTGACCCTCAAAGTTTTTGTGAGGTCAGTCATATCCAGCTCAAGAGGTTGCTAGGGAATAGATGCATACTATTTTCCTGTGCATCTACACATAAACAGAATTTTGTTATTTAGTTAATTAAAGTGAGGTTTTGAATTCTGAGCATTTTCTTCAAAGATGTGTTTAATAGATTGTATTTAAGGTGTTTCAGCTGTTCCCGTAATACGTTACTGCATTTTAGTACTCTTAAACATTTTTCAGAAAAAGACTGAAAATCTTGTATTATGCAACTGATTTATTCTAATTAATAGATTGGAAAAGGTAAGATAAATTGTCATGCTTTTGCATTGCCTAGTTTTCTAATGGAGAATAAATTGGCCCCAAATAAGAAAATGTTCACCGTACATTAATAGAAGCTAGTGTTTTTGGCTGGGGACGGTGGCTCACACCTGTAATCTCAGCAACTTGGGAAGCTGAGGTGGAAGGATCACTTGAGGTCAGGAGTTTGAGATCAGCCTGGGGAAATGTAGTGAGACCCCATCACTAAGAACAACAGCAACAACTACAGAATCACTGGGCTCCTTTGCGGCTACTTCTTGGTATTCTCTAATTGATTCTTATGGCAAATCTCAGTTTTCCTAATCAGATTTAAAATTATTCCCTTAGCTCAGGGACTATATGGTTTTTTTTTATGTTTAGGCACACCTCTACATTGTGTTTAGTGCCTAGGGTAATTCTGGGCATGTATTCTAGACAGAGTAGATCAGATTGGTTCTGGCATTGAATAAGGTGAAAAATATCAAAAGATGTACTGGAAATGGAGTATGGCTTTTTGTGGCCCACTTATAAGTTTTTAAATGATCATATTTAATTATATTTCATATTAAAACTAGTAATTCCATTCCTTCTTGTTATTTTTGACTTGTGATAGTATTTTTGTTGCTGCTGTTGTTTTTTTGAGACAGAGTCTCACTCTGTCGCAGAGTCGAGTGCAGTGGCACAATGTTGGCTCACTGCAACCTTTGCCTCCCAGGCTGAAGTGATTCTCATGCCTCAGCCTGCCAAGTAGCTGGGATTACAGGTGGGTACCAGCATGCCTGGCTAACTACTTGTAATAGTATTTTAACATATTTTTGATCACAACGAATTGACACTTTAAAAATCAAAGTTAAATGAAGTGTTAAACTTTAATTTTTAAATGGGCATTTCTATATTCTTTTCTAGGGTTCCCTTCATTATTACAATAACTTCGTGTAATAAAAATGATGAGTTTTCTCTGATAATATACATATGTATCTATCATTGTAAGTAGCATCTTCATGTCAAAATTTATGTCTGTTCGTGTTACACTGAACTTTAAAGATGTTTACTTTTTTTTCTGATTCCTAGAAGATTGCTAAGAGTAATGTTAAATATATCTTAATTTGAAAATGACCTTACCTGTGGTGTTATGTTAGAGTAGACATTTATTAGGAGGTGGAGGATCTGGTCGATGGCTTTTGTTTTTGATTTGGAGAGAGTCTCACTCTGTTACTCAGGCTGGAGTGCAGTGGTGCAGTCCTAGCTCACTGCAGCCTCAAACTCCTTGACTCAAGTAATCCTCCCACCTCAGCCTTCCTAGTATCTGGGTGGCATGCACCATCTTGCCTGGCTAATTAAAAAAAATTTTTTTTTTGTAGAGATGGTTGCCCAGGCTGCTCTCTATGTTGCCCAGGCTGGTCTCAAACTCCTGGGCTCAAGTGATCCTCCCACCTTGGCCTCCCAAAGTATTGGGATTATAGGCATGAATTGCTGTGCCCGGCCTTAGTTGAAGTCTTTGTCTTGCCACTAAGATGGTGTATAATCTTCGTTACTTAACCTCTTGAACCTGTTTCATCATCTAAAGAACTGAGACAAACAATAGTACTTGCCCAGGTAGTTGTGTGTGAGTGTGTAGAGGGTGGGGAATGAAATGTCACCTGTGAAAGCACTTTGTGAACTCTAAAGTACTTTATCAGAATATGGTTGTTTCATCTTTGAGAAGATTGTTTCAAAGTTTGCCTGGGTGATCTTGATCATCATAGTACAAAATGTATCATGATTGTTTACAAAATGAATGTTTATTCAGTAAAAATTTAAGAATTAAACAGCGTTTCCTTAAGTTTTGTGGCTTACTAACCTTAAAAATTAATTTACGTTATCTGGGAAAGGATTACATAGTTGCTTGTCAGTGCAGCATCCTCACTGTGATAGGGTTAGTTTTGGAATGTTTCTTCTGGAAGCAGGTGATTTAGATTTAAAAGTTCTATCTCTTTAGTGGTTTGTAGTCTAAAGTTTATAAAATGCTTACTTTTGTAGCATTGTTTATAACAGTGCTTACTTTTGTAGCATTACTGTTTCTAACATGGATGGACAGTTGGTTTCTTCTTTGATGAATGTTTATTGGTTAGTTGATTTGAAAAGATCAAGGGAAGGTGAAAATTTTCACTTGATGGCTTTATTTTACTCACTTTGCTAAGCCAAGTTCTATGTATCTGAGTGCTCCTTTGTAGGATTTTCTTTCTCAGCTAAGTGCAGTAACCACACTAATTGCTAAGTTTTAAAGATTGTGACTTGATTTTTTTATTTTTTTGAAAGGTGATTTCTGGCCAGGCACGGTGGCTCATGCTGGTAATCCCACCAGTTTGGGAGGCCAAGGCAGGTGGATCATGAGGTCAGGAGATCGAGAACATCCTGGCCAACATGGTGAAGCCCCATCTCTACTAAAATACAAAAAATCAGCCGGGCGTGGTGGTGCGTGCCTGTAGTCCCAGCTGTGCAGTAGGCTGAGGCAGGGGAATCGCTTGAACCTGGGAGGTGGATGTTGCAGTGAGCTGAAATCGTGCCACCACACTCCAGCCTGGTGACAGAGCAAGACTACATCTCAAAAAAAAAAAAAAAAAAGTGATTTCTGGGGTGGTTGGTTTGAATTTACTGGGCTGTCATCCCTCCTTGGGATAGATATGGTTATGAAAAATATACTATTAGGCCATTCAGATATCATTTAGTTCAAAATATATAAAGTGTAACTCTTTAGGGGGAATCTTAATAACTTTAAATTTCAAAGCAGTTATTATAAATTTAAAGAACACGTTCATCTGTTCTTTGCATTGTCACTCTATAGAGATTCAAAACGAATTCATAGAAATCTCTTGCCTGGAACAAGTTTTTATTCTTTTTAAAACATCATTCAGAAAGCCTCATTAAATCATAAAAGTAAGAACTAATTTAAAAATATAACTTGACTAATGTGTAAATGTATAATGTGTAAAATGTGCTCTAGTTAAAAGATGCTAAAGGACTGTAAGCATTTTTAGTTTCAGATTCTTATACCATGTGTGCTGTAATTTATCTTTTCATTGCTTTGGGCTTTTGATTTAAAGGGCAGAGGTAGCCTTTTTATTTGATAGAGCTCCTGGGAGTATAAACAGTTAAAATGTGTAAGCATTATGCATTTCATTGAAACTTTAAAAATGATTTTCTAGAAAGATTACCTTAATTAACCAAGAACTATGTTCTTTATCAATGAATGGCTTTTCAAAGGATGGTCATACTTAGGAGTAACATTAAGGTTTTATTTATTGCCTTAGAAATTTATATTCTTGACAGAATTTTTGTAGGAGTTTCTTCTAACACATCTTTTATCTGGATCTTGCTACGTTAATTCATAAAACGTCATCTTTAGCAATCTTACTTTTCTAGGCAAAGATGACAGTTAAAACATAATTTGGTGGGCTAAAAGTATACTCTGCAAACAACATAAAGATATACTTTGAAAATATTGTATCAGTAGAAACTGTCTACACGAAATGTGAAATATTTGAAAACATGAAATGTGAAATATTTGAAAATATGAAAGAAGCTCTTCCTATCTGTTGCAACGTGCATGCAGTTTTTGTAGCTCTTCTGAAGGAGTACTTCTGAAATTTGTTACTAGCATTATTTTTAAACAAAGAATGGAAATTAAGTTAGATTGGACTAACCTATTTATGTTGCTAAGAATTATCATGGTGCATTTGATACAGTGTTTCATAAAGTTCATAGTAGACTTATCAGTAGGTTGAATTTCTTTATTGTTAAGACAGTCAAGTCTTTTTCTGGAAATTCTAAGGGTAACGTAATGTTGCCAAACTCCATTTAGGCTGGTTTTGAGACCAAGTTTCACCATTTTATTAGGTTAATGTGACCTTGGGTGACTTTTCTGCATGCCTTAGTGTTGTTATCTATGATTCCATAATTAGAAAGAGAGTGTTGTATGGTGGTTAAGCTTCTAGAGCCTGATTTTCCTGGGAGGAAATTCCAGCTTTACTAATAATTTAAAAAATACTGCGTCTCTTATGTGTAAGGCACTGGTTTAGGCACTTGGGATATATCAGTGGATAAAACAGGCAAAAATTTTTTCTCTTGTGTAGCTTATAGTTAGGGCAGGAAAAAAAAACATAAATAAGTCGGTTGTGTAATATGTTAGGAGGTGGGCAGTACTGTGCAAAATGTATAACAGGATAAAAGGGGAATTGAATGTATATGGTGGAATGTTGCAATTTTAAATGGTGTGACTGGAAGAGGCCTCATTAACAAGACTTTAGCAAGACTTTGTAGTAGCTAAAGGATTTAGTTACAAAGATCTCTCGAGGAAGAGTGTTCCAGACAGAGGAACAGCCAGTGCAGTAGATTCTGCTGCATGCTGGAGATTCTGGGACAATAAGGAGGTCAGGTCACTGCTGCTGGAGTGGAGTGAACAAGGGGAGAGGATAGAAAATGAGGTCTGAAAGATGAGGGTGGGTAGTGGTGGAGGTGGTCGTTGATGGGTGGGGGATAAGCACAGTAGTGCATGTAAGGCTTTGTAGACCCTTATAAGGAGTTTGGTTCTGCCTCTTACTACTTTCATATTCTTTGGTAAATTATATAACCTTTTAGTTTTGTCATCTGTAAAATGTGAATAATAACAATACCAATCTCATAGGCTTGTTGTTTTGGTTGAGTTAATACCTGTAGTGTCCTAGGAACACTACTGGGCAGAGTCCAAAGCATATATTCATTACTTATATATTGCATATATTCTTACATGTGGAATCAACATTAAGAGATCACCTTCTTCCTTTTCTTTTGAAAAGGTAGCAAAGGGAGAGTTAATTGATCACTGCTTTGACTTTTCTATGATAAATTGCTTATGCTTCAATTGTATCACATTATTATCACAAACATTTACTCTGTATGTGCTTATCATCCTTGCTAAATTATGAATGCCTTTGGACAGAGACCAGGGTATTTTATTATGTCTTAGGAATCTTAATGTATTGTAAATATATATCATGTGATAAAAAATGTTGGCTAAATTAATGACAAAAATGTTGGCTTAATTAATACATCGGACCACCTGCTAGTAAGTATATTGGAACATTGCCAGTCTATCAAAGCTAAATAGTGGAAGGGTGGTAGCTAATGGCCTCTGCAAAATATTTATGTATTTTATTTCTGTGCTATAATTATTCAAATTGGTATTAGTAGAAAATTTCCTTAAATATTATATAGGTATACAAGTTTGTACCATGTAAAACGAAAAGTCTTTATGTATATTATATATCTATTAACATTTGCTGTCATTGGTTGATAGGAAACAACTACTATCTTGATTGATAGCATAGATACAATAAAACTCTTACTTTAAAATATAATAGTTCCCTACTTACAGTGGTTTGATTTAGGATTTTTTGACTTTATGATGATGCAAAAGGCATAGGCATTTAGTTATAGGCATAAACTTGTTACTTATTGGGACATAACCTCTTCATAAGTCAAGGAACATCTGTATATTTTTAGTCTTAATCTGTTTATATCTGCCCAAGTGTTTATAATCAAAGATTATTTAGCCAGCAAAATGTTAAAAGATTGCTAAGCAGGAATATTCACTGACTGCTGAAGTGGGGTAGTAGGGCAAGGAAAGAGTAAGATCTGAACTGACTTGGGTGGTTGTCCAAGTAATTTTATATCTGCCTTTTTGTATTTGCTTGGTTTCAGTTTCCAGCTTAGTAGGTTCTCTTCTCCCCCTTCTTGGTTGAGAGGAGTGGAAGAGGAGAAAGGGGGATAGAGGCTTGAAGACATGAAATTAGTAGATGATGCTAAATGAATTAGGGTTCCAGAGACAGACTATGTGACAGGTGACTTGGGGGTAATTGTGGGTTTACATGGTAGAGGAATGGTTGTGTGGGAAAGACATTCTAGAATTTCTGTTTATAAATTTATACTTTGAGGTTATATTATTTTGTGTGTATGCATGTTTACTTTTCCTTCTTGCTTCACTATTTTATTTTTGTTTTCTTTTTACATATCTAAGTTATATTCTTTGATGTATGACAGCAGTAATCTAGTGCTTTCAATAAAATGTGATGCAAGAAGGTGAGTATGCTTTTTGTGAAAATGTGTTCGACTGAATATTAAGATTTCAAAAACATTTGTCCAGTCTGTAGATGTTAACTAGCTCATGATGAGTTGTGTAATAATATCCTGATTGTGGAGTAGATACATCACATCAACTTTTAAAAAGACTCAATGTTAAAATGCATAATGTGAAGACATTTTTTCCCCTTATATAGGTTTTGCAGTGTCCTTTTCTGTTCAATTTTATTCTTGTAATTAGCAATTCTAAAAGTTGGATATAGTAATGTATGTAGCAATATATGTACAGAATATATAATATTCTAATAGAATACTGAACAGCGGCAGTGTAATGCAAAAACAGTTGTTAAAAGAAGAACTTTAGGCAAATTTAGCAGAACGTACATATCTGTGCAAAGAACTATTCATAAATCAGGCAGCACTCTGAACCAGAAGAGGTTTGGAGAACTCCACCCAGCAACATAGGCAGGCAGTATTTATACACAGAAAAAGCAAACGACAAGCAGAAATAGCTTGATTGGTTACCTCTTGGCATTTGCCTTATATGGACATAGTCTTATCAGGTGACAGTCTGTAATTGGCTGAGGCTTGGCTACTGTGATTTGCTGAGACTCAGCTACTTGTTACAAAAATATACTCTTAAATTAGGTAGCAGTTTGTTTACATAGTAAGTTAGGTTTTGTTGGCTACCCAGAGGGGCAGCTTTAGACCAAATTTAATTTAACATAATTTTGCTTTACTTTACCCATTTTTAATAGTGTCTAACTTAGTAGTATAGTTTTATAGCTTTTATTATCCTTTTGGTACTCTTGCTATAGAAGTATGTACTTAAAATAACTGCATAATTGAGAGGAATGACATATATATGCTTTTGAATGCTTGGCTGCAAAACATTGAGGCAGGCAATTAGGAGCTTAGTAGAAATAAAGTATTTTAAAGTAGATTTTTTTGTAACTAGCTCAGTAACAAAGCTACTGACTAGCTAAGTACTGGAAAATGCTAAATTATCAGAAAGACTGTACTGTTTGTAGTTTCTTGATAAAGCATATGTAAATACAACCTTGAGTTGATATACTTGGTTATTTTCTAGAGATTATCAATTTCTAGAAAATACCCTGCTTTTACATTTATGGCTTTTATTGATGTGCAAGGTATTTATGGATCCCTAAACTTGTATTAGGACTGTTACATAAAATGCTTTACCTGTTGTTTCTGAATAAAATTATATTTGGCTTGTTCTTTATTTCTGATAATTCAACTTTCAGTCTTCATTACTTTCATTTAATATACTTGGGCAAAATCCCAGTTAGATGAATAAAGTGATCTGTGGTTGGTATCAATGCAGTACCAATGTGGAATGTTAATTTTCTGTGTTAGTCTCTGCTAAAAGGTTGGTTATAGCATAATGTTTAAAAAATATTGATGGACCATTTTAGCGTTATTAAATACCTTTTGCTTTGAACTTTTAAGATGCTTATGTTTGTATTTTCAAAAACTGCATCCTTAATATATTTAGATTTTTTCAGCTGAGGGAAATGTTACTATAAGAGTTTATCAAGAAAATAGTGCTATTTGAGTGTTGGAGAGTGTCAGAATATGATTTTAATGAAACACATTTGTGCTTTCCTTCCTATTTTAGGATATTTAAGATGATTGTCAAGGTTATTGTCCTGACTTCAAAGAAATCTTAATCCTTCACTGGAAGTTAAGTTTGAAAAAGTCCAATTTGTATCTGAGTCATTGTTGTAATATCATTTAGCATTGATGGGTCATTGTACTCAGACGAAGTGTTAGTTGTTACTAATTTTATTTAACAGTATCTACCATGGAAAGAATTTTGTTAAACTTAGGACTTAAATGTAACAATTTTACCTGACTTTAATACTGTGTTTAATCCTGATTCTTTTGGGGGATAACCTGTATTTGTGTACTTTTGTAGGATAGAGGGAGGAATCAGCAGTTTGAAAATTCAAGCACGTGATCTGGCGGGATGGGCGTTTGCCTGACATATTTAATGGAGGTAATTCAGCATTGTTTGACTCAATCTTTAATTTTTACCTGTGATAGATGCCCATGTTACTACACATACTTACAATAACTGTTGGGTATAAGTGTGCATTTATGGCCAATCCCTTTTCTTTTTATATTCATATAAATAACATCACTATTATAAATATTATAAATAATATGTAGATATGGACATATGTACATAGAAAATGACATTGTTAATTTTATAAGATGAGGTCCATTATCTTCTCTTAAGATTACTTGCATATCTTCTTTTAGGCCTCATTTCTTTTATGTTAGGAAGGCAAATGATCCTCTCCTTTCTTGTTGGCCTATGTTGGTGCATATATTAAACCTATGCTTTTATCTTTCATACAACGTGAAAGAAATTATCTAACAGTTTTCAAGGAGTTTACATATCTGTCGGTGGCACATACTCATGTCAATTTTTAATGGTCATAAAAATTATTCTATTTGTTGTATTTTTAATTTTTTTATTTTTTTTATAGAGACAGGGTCTCAACTGTGTTGCCCAGGCTGGTCCTGAACCCCTGAACTCAAGTAGTCCTCTTGCCTCAGCCTCCCAAAGTGCTAGGATTACAGGTGTGAGTCACTGTACCTGGCCTGATCGTAAAAATTCTAAAGTTTCTCTGTGCATTTTAAAATTTGTTTTTTGAGAATTTTTTTGTTTTTTGAGATAGAGTTTTTGCCCTGTTGCCCAGGCTGGAGTACAGTGGTGTGATCTTGGCTCACTGCAACCTCTGTCTGCGGGGCTCAAGTGATCCATCCACCTCAGGCCTCCCAAGTAACTGGGACCACAGGCACAGGCCACCCTACCTGGCTAACTTTTGTGGTTTTTTTTGTTGAGATAGCATTTTGCCATGTTGCCCAGGCGGATCTTGAACTTCTGAGCTCAAGCAATCCATCTGCCTTGGCCTCCAAAGTGCTGGGATTATAGACCTGAGCCACTGCGCTCAGCCTGAGAATTCTTTTTCACCTTGTGTATTGAAATTATTTGGAGTTTCAGTGGCCATATTTTAGGATTTTCCTAGTTTTTCCTCATCTTCTGATAATTGTTATGGTCAATATTTTTCACTTCTTTACTCATGTTTATTATATTAGGTGTATACACTTAGGCAATAGAGAATGTTATAACATCGAAAAAAAGCTTTCCAACCCTTTCCTATTCGGTATAATCATTGTATATCCTTGCAGACAATTTCTATACATATACAAGCATTTATGTGTGTGCTTATATTTACACATTTTTTTACACAAATGAGATCACACTATATTATTCAGTAATATTAAAAAAATAAACTTCCACATTTTTGCAAATCATTGCTTCTCATTTTATGCTGCATAGTATTCTAATATTTGGACATATCATAATTTTTCTAACTAGTCATCTACTTATGGATATTTAGCCCCTTTTTTTTTGCTATTGTAAATGATGATGTAGTGAATATTCTTGGGTACACCTTTGCACATATTTAAAAATTTATCTGGCTAGGTGTGGTGGCTTATGCCTGTAATTCCAGCATTTTGGGAGGCCAAGGCAGGTGGATCACTTGAGGTCAGGAGTTCGAGACTAGCTTGGCCAACATGGTGAAACCCCAGCTCTACTAAAAATACAAAAATTAGCCAGGCATGGTGGTGGGTGCCTGTTATCCCAGCTACTCAGGAGACTGAGGCGGAAGAATTGCTTAAACCCAGGAGGCAGAGGTTGTGGTGAGCCAAGATGCCACCACTGCATTCCAGCCTGGGTAACAGAGCAAGACTCTGTCTTAAATTTAAAAAAAAAATTATATATGTATATATATATATCTGTAGTATAAATTCTGAAGGGAAAAATCATTGGACTGAAGATTATGTACATTTAACAATTTGGTGGATAAATTGCCTAACTCTAAAAAGAAGGCCAAATATCAGTAGTCTGTGAGAGAGCGGATCTCTGTATCTCTTTGACAACACTAGCTAGTGTCAAACTTTTTAATATTTGTCAGTTTTTTGTTGATTAGCTTTGCTTTTCTTACGAATGAGTTTGAAGATTTTCCCCCTTATTATTGGCCATAATGTATGTTTTCAGTTACCGATTTGGTCATGTGCTTTGCCGTTTTATGGAGCTCTTTATGTTTTTGTATATTAAGGAAAGGAGCCTCTTGCCATTTTTTTTTTTTAAGTTTTCCAATTGACAATTGTATACACTTATGAGGGTGTAATGTTTTTTATTTTTACTTGACACATATATAGTGTATATTTATGGTAACATACATGGTGTACGTTTAAATTTTATACACTATTAAAACGTTGTGTAATGATCACATCTGGCTAATTAGAGTATTTTCATCACTTTAAATATTTACCATTTCTTTGTGAGCCTCTTGTCATTTATTAGATTACTTTTGTTCAAGTTTTGCTCATCTTTTGATTTTATTATTTTGCCCAACAGAAGTTTTCATTTTTTATTGTTGAATATAGTAATCTCATCTTCCGTGACTGAGGTGGGCAGTGGAGAACAGTTCTGTGTTAGATTTAAAAGGTCTTTATCATTGATTATAGGGCTCACTTTTCCCTTCAGATTATAGCATCTCTGAATAACATGAATCTCTAACTTATCATACTTCAACTTTTGTTTCTTTTTCTTCTTTTTCGTAAATTAGTTTGGCCAGGTGTCTTTAGGAAGAAAATGAATATACATAAATAATTATCTTTTAAAATATAAATAATAGGTATTGGGACTCATAATGGAAGAAGAGGTATACATTCATAATGACAACTACAAAGATAAAAATGCCTGGGAGCATATTACTTAAAAAAAAATTGAAACTCTATGGAAGAATAAGAAAGAGTATTTGAATCAGTTCACATTTTTTGATAAGATACATATGAAATTCTTCAAATATATATTTAAAGCTATATATTTTAAGTATTGTTTTAGCTGCATCCTGTAAATTTTGATATTTTTCGTTTTCATTCAGTTAAAAATATTTTCTAATTTCCCCTTACATTTTGTCTTTGTTATTTAGAAGTTGGAAGTTTAATTTCCAAATGTTTGTGGATTTCCCAGTTTTTTAGTTGATATCAAATTCAATTCTGGTATGGTTAGAGAACATATAAATGTATTTGTTTATAAGACAGGGTCTTGCTGTGTTGCCCAGGCTGGTCTTGAACTCCGGGGCTTAAGCAATCCGTCCACCTCAGGCTCCTGAAGTGTTGGGATTACAGGCGTGAGCCACCTTGTGAGGCTCAGACAACATATTTTTATGACTTCAATCCATTTAAATTTAGTGAGACTTATTTTGTGGCCCAGCATGTGGCCTGTCCTAGAGAATGTTTTAAAACAATTATGTATTCTAGTATTGTTTGGTAGTGTTTTCAGTATATGCCACTTACGTATAGTTGGTTGATAGTGTGGTTCTGGTCTTCTCTGTCCTTTCTAGTTTTCTGTCTAATTATTATATCACTTATTTAGAGTGAGACATTGAGATCTCCAAATATAATTGTTGAATTTTTAATTTTTCCTTTCAATCGTGTTAGTTACTGCTTCATTATTTTGGGACTCTTTTTAGATGCATACACAATTGTTATATCTTCCTGATGTTTTGACTGTTTATTATTATGAAATGTCTTTCGTTGTCTCTATAGTCTTAAAGTGTGTTTTATCTGATGTTAATATAGCCATTCTGTCTCTTATGGGTACTGCTTCTATAGTATATCCTTTTTTTCCCCATCCTTTTACTTTCAGTTTTGAATGTAGGATATGTCTTTTGTTGATAGCATATAGTTGGAATTTGTGTTTCTGTCCTTTCTGACAGTCGTTGCCTTTCCATTGGACTATTTAGACCATTCATATTTAATTAGGGATATAGTTGGATTTACATTTGCCATTTTGGTACCTGCTACACACACACACACAATATATATATACACACACACACACATATATAAAAAGATATATATACATATATATAAAGCAAGTATATATAGTGTCATTTCACTATGGTTTATATATGATATGGTCCTTTATATATATATGTATCTACATAGATATAGATAGATATCTCCTATGTTTTTGTTCCTTTGTTTCCTCTATTGCCTTTTGTGTTAAATACTTTTTAGTGTGCCATTTTAATTACTCCAGTGATTTTTTTAACTGTATATTTTTAAAGATATTTTCTTTGTGGTTGCTGTCAGGATTATGCATTTTAACAGGCTGCTTATTATCAGTAAGATAAAGAAACTCCTCCAATGTAGGTCCATTTTCTCTTCTTTATTGTACCGCTATTGTAATATACTTCTCTATATATTATAAACCCAGTAGTACAGTGTTGTGATCATTGCTTTATACATTCTTAGGTGTTTTAAAGGAAGGAAGAAATGAGAAAAATATGTTTATAGAGTCTTTTTTGAATTAACCCACATATTTGCCATTTCTGGTGCTCTTCAATTCTTTCTGTGTATTTAAGTCTGATGTCTTTTCCTTTCAGCTTGATGGGCTTCCTTTGGTGTTTGTTTAAGGCAGGTCTGCTAGCAAAAACAATTGTCTCAATTTTTGGTTATCTGGGAATATTTTTTCATTTTTGAAGGATAGTTTTGCTGCCTTCTTGGTTGACAGCTGTATCTTTCAACTTTTTGAATATGTGATTTCACTGTCTTCTTGTCTCTATTGTTTTTAACTGGAAGTTAGCCACTAATCTCTGCATATGCTGAATCATTATTCTCTTCCTACTTTCAAGATTTTTCTCCTTGTGTTTGCTTTCAACAAGTTTGACTACGTTGTGTCCAGTTGTAGGTTGCTTTATATTTTCCTACTTTAAATTCATTGTGCTTCTTAGATCTGTAGATTTATTTTCCTTAGAAAAATTAAATTTGGGGCCAGGCATGGTGGCTCATACCTATAATCCCAGCACAGGTGGGGATTTGAGAGGCCAAGGTGGTCACATCACCTGAGGTCAGGAGTTCAAGACCAGCTTGGCCAACATGGTGAAACCCTGTCTCCACAAAAATACAAAAATTAGCCGGGCATGATGGCGGGTTCCTGTAATCCCAGCTACTTGGGAGGCTGAGGCAGGAGAATCGCTTGAACCTGGGAGGCACAGGTTGCAGTGAGCCGAGATCACACTATTACACTCCAGACTGGGTGACTGAGCGAGACTCCGTCTTAAAAAAAAAGAAAGTAAATTTGTCATGTTTTGGCCAATATTTTATTAATTTTTTTTTCTTCCCTTCTTTCCTGGTACTCAAAATGTTGGTAAGCTGGATGTTGTTCCACATGTCTTTGAGGCTCTGTTCATTTTACTTCCATCTTTTTCCACTCTTGTTTTTCAGAGTAGATGGTTTCTATTGATGTATCTTAAAAGTCACTGATTTTCTTTTGCCATAAATGTGTTGAGCCCTTCTGATGAATTTTTTATTTCTGTTATTGTATTCTTAAACTTCAGGATTTCCATTTGATTCTTTTACATAATTTCTGCATCTTTGTTGAGGATCTCTTATTGGTTGATTGAGGTTTTTCATAATTAAAAAACTTTAAAACATGAGTTCCTTTGAACATATTTAACATATCTATAATAGATATTTTACAAAATATATTGTAACAACTCTGGATTGTGATGTGCCCCTCCCCTTTTATTGTTACTGTTGTCATTTCACTATAGTTTATATATGATACAATCCTATTGAGGAAAAGAAATTTTATTTTGCATGAAAGTGTATCTGGAAAAAGATATACGTGAATATCCAGGAAAATTCTGAAATGTAAGAGTACTGAGAGGTGAATAGCTCTATAAGAATTTGGACTTTTAAAAAAATATGTAAACTGTTGAAATGTTTTTTAAAAAATGAATTAATATACTTTCTGAAGTTCAAAGAGGAAATCATTACTGATATGGATGTAGGTGGGAAAGACTATTCTTTTTGCCTTTGCACCATCCTAAGCTAATGTAAAATCATAGGATCTTTCATGTATCATCTGGTGTCCACACTTCTTGTGAAGGAGTGTTTGCAAACTATTCTTGATAGATAGGAATCTAATATTTTAAGAACCTCCAGGGTAGGAAATTCCATAAAATCTTTAGTCTGTTAACTATGCTCTGAATACTTACTGTCAGGAAGTTTTCTTCCTGTGTATAGCCTATACTCTGTTTTTGTTTTGAATGTGCTAAAAATTTTCCATATATTTTTATCTATCTTTTTTGTCAGCTTTTTCCTGTTGGTGGTAATCTTGCTGATAATATTTAATCTGATTTTATAACCATAATTGTTTCTATTGTTTTTGGCCACTAGAATTTTATGTTGAATTTATATAATAGTTTCTTTTAAGTTTTGGCATGCCATTAGTTCTGTTTGTTTGTAAGGCCTGCCATTGTGTTTCTTCTCTCTTCACTTCATAGACTTTAACAAAGCAGATATGATTAGTGTTTGTAAGTAGTTTCTTAAGTTTTGTTTTTTCTAACCTTTTAGGTCTGTAATTCTCTGAATTTCCTTGAATATCCTGTATCTTTGAGGCTGTAGATTCCACATCTAGACAATTGTTTTTTGTTTTTTGTTTTTTTTGAGACAGAGTCTCGCTTTGTTGCCCAGGCTGGAGTGCAGTGGCGCATTCTCGGCTCACTGCAAGCACTGCTCCCCGGGTTCATGCCATTCTCCTGCCTCAGCCTCCCGAGTAGCTGGGACTATACACGCCCGCCACCACGCCCGGCTAATTTTTGGTATTTTTAGTAGAGATGGGGTTTCATCGTGTTAGCCAGGATGGTCTCGATCTCCTGACCTTGTGATCTGCCTGCCTCAGCCTCCCAAAGTGCTGGGATTACAGGCATGAGCCACCGTGACTGGCCGGCAGTTGTTCTTTATAAGGCCAAGTTTATTTCTCATTTACCGTCTACTTACTACTATTGCATTTTTTCAATTTCAGACATAAAAACAAGTCAGTACATTGATCATTGAGTCATAACTTACTATATTTAGAAAGAATTTTCACTTCAGTATTCATACCAATTTGCATATATTATATTTGTATAGTATTTTTTCCTACCATTAATAATGTTTGTTGTTGTGTGTTTATTGTAGGAATTGGATGGCATAAGTGATTAAGGTGGTATTGAGGATTTCTGAAGTCTATGAAAGGTGGAAACTCAACCATGATTTCTTTTTCAACTCTACAGCATTCCCTTCCTTGAAGTCTTCATTTTTACCTTAGTCTCAGGTAATTTTAATACTTGCATTTCATAATCTTGAATAAATAAGTTTTTTCAAATATGAAGTCATTGTGTTTAGCTGCTAGAATTTTATACTGAATTTATATAATAGTTTCTTAAAGTTTTGGTATTTATATTTGGAAGAAACTAGTTTTTTTCTTGAGGAAACAAATTTAAGAGATGAATAATGGTGTCATTTTAGACTCTAACACACACAAAAATGTGTAATCTTAAGTGAAATTGAATTGAGAGTTATTTTCTTGGTTTAACACTTTTTCTCAACAGGATATAGCATTTTTTACCCTCTATCCTGAACACATATACACTCATATTAAATTTCCCAGAATTTTCAAAGAAACTGTTTTCACACTGAGGAAAGTTAGGCATGTTAGTCAAGTTTAATGGTGTTTGCTATATAATTTTTAAAATGTGAAAAAACATATCAGTTTCTATACATCTGTACATGTGTGTATGCCTGCACTAATATAAGGAAGCAGTCTTATAGATAATTCAGTAATCACTTAAGTATATAGGCTTGGCTGCTGTGACTGAGGCTTACAAAGGTAGAAATATATTTGAATTTACTTGAAAAGTATGTGTAAACTATCTTGAGAGTATATGGAGGCTGCAGAATCACTATATACCAGGGCTCCTTTGTCTTGCTCTGCTCTTATGTGCAGTTTCTATATTGTGGGTGAGAATGGTTACCATTGTGTCTGCTGATAAGAAGAAAAAGAGAATGGCATTCTGTTTACCTTTAAGAGGAGTTTGTGTATATCACTTTCACTCAGATCCCTTTGGTTTTAACTTTGTCACATGTCACAACCAGCTGCAAAGGAGGCTGGGAAGTAAGTGACTCTGATTTAGGCAGCCATATGTTGCACTTAATTTTTATTACTGGATAAGAAGGAGAGAACAGATTCTGGGGAGATAGCCAGGTATCTGTCACATTAAGGTTTGAGTCCGATATATTTTCCATTAAAAAGAAGTGCTGTTGATTTAAACAGTTAACTTTTTTGTTGTTGTTCTAGAATGAGTCTTGGTTACTGTATAGTATGTATTAAAAATAACCATTAGCAATCTAGGCATAGTGGTATGTGCCCAGTCCCATCTCATTTAATTGAAAAAAAATTAGGTGTTTAACATTTGTTCATAGTATACAGGGACATTTTGTTTTAAGAAGTTTTTAAAAATATTTTTTAAATATTTCTTTTGATCATGTAAGAATACAGAAACTTTATAGTTTGAATATTAATGTTTGAATTGTTGATATTGGCATAAAATGTAATGGATGCAATAAGTAGATCCAACAGAATGTAGGATTCTGCTTTGTGGGAACTTTTTTTTTTTTTTTTTTAACCTTTTCCCTCCCCCTCTTCTTGTTAAGATAAATTATAGCTGTTTCTTAAACTGTTTGAATTTCTGTAAATTTGATATTTTAGTATTTTAAATACTACTATCTTCTTGTTACATTGTTTTACAGAACAGATAATAAATATTTGGAATGCAGAATATGCCTAGATTCTGTTTCATTTGAGAGGGGCTTCAGTGTGGTATAGAAATGCCTATTAACTTTGGCTTATTCAAATATTTATAAATTATTTTTCTGTGGTGAAAAAGTTTTTTTTTTTTAACTTTTTAGGTTTTTGAAGTCGTATTATATAAAATGATTATTGTTAGTGTGTAAAGCAGCTATTGAAACAGGTATTTATTTAAACATCCTTTATTGTTGTTAGCCCTGATCAGAGAAGCCTTTGTGTCCCATTGTATAAATGATGTTCCTGTTAGGATATTTTGAAATAGTAGTACTTTAAAAATTAACATAGTTTACAAGGTATGTTTTATAGATACAAAATGGTAGTTATACAGAAATATATCTGAAGAGGTCTTTGAATGTACTTAGACAAGAAATAGATTTTGTTTTTTTAATAAGAGATGAAGTAGTTTCTGCTTAGATCAAAACTGTACTTTTCAAGGATGAAAGCAAATGCAAAACTTCTTCAGAATAACAAATAGCAAATTTGTTAAAGGTTCTGGTATTAATCATGGGTTTCATCTCACCAAATGATTTGGATGCTCATTGATACTTGTATTTCTAATGCTGATATTTTTAAGGTGTAATTTCTCACAGTTAGAAACATAGGTTAGAAATGTTAATATCCAAGTGAATGTAACTGGCATCCTGCAAATAACAAAGTGCTTTGAATCAGAAGTAATTTGTGAAATCTAGCTTTTTTTGTTTTACCTGTTTTCAGAACAGGTTCCTTTAAGTGCCTCTCTTTTGGCTTGCAAGTGAAGTTTCATTTTAGAATGAATAGGTTCTGTTACAAAGTCGGGGGAAGAGGTGTTACTGAATTTGTGAGAATATTTTAAGTTGAAAATTACTCTTTTTATACAGAAGACGATGATTAGGTTCCGAAGCTTGCCTATTATAACCTGCTTTGACTCATAGTTGAAGTTCCATATTATTCAAAAAAGTTTATGGAAAATAATATTACTACCAAACTCAATACATAGAAATGGAGGATCTCTAAGTGGGAAATATTTATTTCTTTCATGCTCAAATGCAGATTAATTAAAGGTAATAAGTGGCACATGGAAGGTCATATACATTCTGAAAGGGAACTTGGTGCTTTAAAAAATTTTAGAGCATATAGCACAAGCCTTCAAATCTGTTTTCATTTTAAATTGTACAGCCCTCTTTTTTTGATACAGGTGTATCATTAGCACTGACTGGTTTTACATTTATTAGCCATATTTAGGATTATTTTTAAATTTCCAATTGGAAATGGGAAGGTAGAGAGATTTTCCTGGTAAGGCTTTGAGAAAACAGAGGAAGGAAGGTAGCTTAAGAAGATATATTTAAACCCATGAAAAAGAAAGAATGGCTGAGGAGAAATTCACTGAGATATGAGTAACAGAAATTGGAAAACAGAAGGCCGGGCATGGTGGCTCACGCCTGTAATCCCAGCACTTTGGGAGGCCGAGGCGGGTGGATCACAAGGTCAGGAGATCGAGACCACGGTGAAACCCCATCTCTAAAAATACAAAAAATTAGCCGGGCATGATGGCGGGCACCTGTAGTCCCAGCTGCTCGGGAGGCTGAGGCAGGAGAATGGCGTGAACCCGGGAGGCGGAGCTTGCAGTAAGCTGAGATCGCGCCACTGCACTCCAGCCTGGGCGACAGAGCGAGACTCCCTCTCAAAAAAAAAAAAAAAGAAATTGGAAAACAGAAAATGTGGAAAGTGTCGAGTCCTCCCACAGAAGAAAAGGGGATTCTGTGTCAGAACGTTCTCCCATGGTAGCCATGAGATGGAGTAGTCAGCTAAGGACAGTTTGATTGCTTTGCCAAGCCAAGCAATGATGATAGAGAGGCCTTAAGAGCAGGTGGTGAGAGGGCAATAAGAGTTCAACTACTTCCTAATGTGTCCAGGGCCTTTTAAAGTCAGGAAATAGTGTGATAAGGTAAAAAGTGCATTGAGTCAGCTAAGTCTGGTTTGAAATCCCAGTTTACTTCTTAGCTATGCATCCTTGGGTAAGCCCCAGTTTGTCTGTTAAATGAGGATATGCTGTTACTGTCTTGAGGGTTATTGTAAGTATTAAGTAAGGCAATATATTTAAAGGTGCCCAGCACAGTGTCTTACATTTCAGCACACATTAGTTGTCTTTCCTCTCCAGGTTTTCATAATTTCTGAATTTTAGAATACAGACGTAAACATACTAATTTGGAAAGACCCCATTAATTGTGTAAAACTCCCATTAAGAAAACCTCAGCAAGCATTTTTTTCCCCCGATTTTTAATTGGCCCTTGTAGAACAAGGAAGCATTTTTAAGAGCCTTGTATATTTGATTAAAAATGAGTACTAGTACCCAACTTGTCCATTTGTAATGCGTCTGTTAACTTTGTCCTCTGAAGACAAGCCCAGACAGTTCCCCAAGTTTTGGAAATAATTGTCAAAAAACATTTGTGTTAAAAGCCTGTGTATTTAATTCCTTATTAAAAGCCCTGACCCAAAACTGTTTGCTCTGTTTCAACTTAATATAAATCTGTAAAGCTTAGTTTTTAATTACTTACACGTAATTGATTAGAGACATTAAATTCGAAGATGACCACAAGAAGAGTCAACTATTTCTTCTGGTAGACAGGAGAAAAGTAATGGCAGATAATTTACATTCTTTTTAAGTACCCCTCTGTCACTAGGCTTAAATGACTAGACGGTTACCTAAGTCACTACAGTTAGACTTTTACACAGCTGAACTAAACGTGTCAATAGGAAGGATGTTAGGTGTGTGTGGGGTTGGGAGTGGGAGCGGGGAGGGGAAATTCAATGGAATTGGAAGTTGTGTTGTGGCCCCCTAAATACCCCTGTAGCCGGTTTCTCTCGCAGAGGGATGGTGATGAGGGAAGAATAAATCATGGAAGCGGGGAAAGAATGCAGAATTTGAAGTAATCTGTGAAAGGGAGATTTAGGAGAAATTGGCCTTAGTTGGTCTCCTTCCTTTCTCTTTCCTGCTCTGTTGTAGTTTTCACCATTCTCTGCTGTGGGTAACTTGAAGTGCAGAAGAAGGATTGCCTCTCATTCTTAGCTGAATTAGCCCTCGGACATCATTGTCCAGCCTGTCTTGGTTCTTAACAGTGCTGCCATTTTGTACTCTGTGGTGTCAGCTGCCTAAGGTCTCTACGAGATAAAGGGTCTTCACAAGGAGCTCAGCGTGGCTTATTACTCCACGTATTTTCTTTTCTCTTCAGTTGGACAGGGGTTCCTTGAAGCTGAAATTAATTGTTTAGTTTTTTTCCCCTTCCAAATCAGTCTTCCATGTGAGTAATAAGATTTAAAGGAAGCATTCTTTCTTTCCTCTTCTGTGTCGTATCCCTAACCCCTGACTTTCCATTAATTATACACACATTTGGATTAGAAAGCAGTTGGCTTTTTGAGGAGTTAACAGGATGAGACAGTTAATTATTCACATATTAGTGTGGCTTGACTACCTCAGTTTTCTTTCTTTACCCTTAGCTGATCCTCCCTAAAAATAATGAAATTAGGGGAGGGATATGACATGTGTTAGCTTTTGAGCTTGGAACCTTTTGTTGTATTTGGATTTTTGAATATGCAGTGAGGCACGTGAGAGCTTTGACTGAGACCACTGAAGAGTTTCAGTGGGAAAGGTTAAAACCATAATGGCAGAGAAGGGAGGTGCAAGGACAATACAAGTGTGTTTTTTCTACTTTATCTTTTTTTAATTAATAAGTGTAGTTTTGTCCTGTTCCCTTTTTCCATGGACCTGGTAAAATTTCCCGGCCAGAGACAGGTTGAGGTATATGATAGAGGTATGACTCACTTTGTCTTTGAAACATGTCTTAAAATAACACTAAGTCTTTGTTTTAAAATAAAGAAGAAAAACAAGACCTAGAGTCAATTCTGTTACTCATACCCTGTTAGCTTGCTGTAACCTTAAAGAAAGAGAAGATGTTGGTACATGAAAAAGGAATAATAAAAAGTCAAAATTAGTCTTCTTCATGAAGATCCTTTCTTATTTCATTTTCCAAATTCCAGTTAAGTTTCTTACCAGGAAAATATATATATATATGTGTGTGCGTGTGTATATATGTTTCTCTCTCTCTCTCTCTGTGTGTGTGTGTGTGTGTGTGTATGTGTGTGTGTGTGTATAGAAAGGATCTTACTATCTACATAGTTGTCCTTGATTTTTTTTTCACTTAATATATCTTGGAGAACCAGCACATAAAGCTAACATCATTCCTTTTAATGGCTGCACGTGTTCCATTGTATGGTTGAGTCATAATTAATGTAACAAGTCGCCTGTCTATGGATGCTTAAATATGTTTCCAGTCTTTTCCCATTGAAGGGTTGTAGCAAACATCCTTGTACTTTCTTCTTTGATGAGTGTCTATGAATAAACCCATAAGGTTGTATACTATATATCTCTAGCAGTGAGATTGCTGAATCAAGAGTACATACAGTTTTCATTTTGATAGATATTTCCAAAGCTCAGTTTAAAGCTTTGTCTTATTTAAAACCTTGTATCCATTGATACTGGAGTTTGTTTTGATATCTTAGTACTTTCTGGTATTTGGGGAAATTTCAGGGTATTTCAAAAACAGTTTCCAGGCCAGACAGTTTAACTCCCAATATATGCCTTAATTTGGGGCCATAGGAATAAGGAACTTATGTAAAAAGGAAGAGAGATTTATTTTTCTTTGCATGTGGTCGGTTTTCAGGAAGATTTTTAAAGAGGTCATTTGTTTTTCATTTGGAGTATTTCCACTTTACTACTTCTGTATCAAGGTGTGCTCTCTTCCTGTTCCAAGTCTCTCACTCTAGCACTTTATGCCTTTTTTCCAAAATATTATCTGTCCCTAGAATACTACTGCTTCCTCAATACTTATTGTTTTGGCTTGATGCTAAGCATACAATTAGGTAAAAAAAAAAAAAAAAAAATCACATCAAGCTAAAAATCTTCTGCACAGGAAAAGATATAGTCAACAAAGTGAAGAGACAACCCACAGAATGGGGGAAAATATTTGCAAACTACCCATCTGACAAGGGATTAATAACCAGAATATATAAGGAGCTCAAACAATTCTATAGGAAAAAAAATCTAATAATTCAATCAAAAAATGGACAAAAGATTTCAGTAGACGTTTCTCAAAAGACATGTAAATGGCAGACAGGCATATGAGCATGAAAAGGTGCTCAGCATCATTGATCATCAGAGAAATGGAGATCAAAACTACAATGAGATGTCATCTCTAGTTAAAATTGCTTATATCCAAAAGACAGGCAATTACCAGTGCCGGGGAGGATGTGGAGAAAAGGGAACCCTTCTATGCTGTTGGTGGGAATGTAAATTAGTACAGCCACTATGGAGAAAAGTTTGGTGGTTCCTCAAAGAACTAAAAATTGAGCTACCATACGATCTAGCAGTCCCACTGCTGGGCATATACCCCCCCAAAAGGAAATCAGTATATTAAGATATTTGCACTCCTGTGTTTGTTGCAGCACTGTTTACAATAGCTAAGAATTGGAAGCCACCTGAGTGTGTATGAACAGATGAGTGGATAAACAAAATGTACATGTACACAGTGGAGTAGTATTCAGCCATAAAAAAGAATGAGATCCAGTCATTTGCAACAACATGAGTGAAACTGGAGATCACTATGTTAAATGAAATAAGCTAGGCACAGAAAGACAAATGCATGTTCTCACTTATTTGTGGTATCTAAAAATCAAAACAATTGAACTCATGGACATAGAGAGTTAAAGGATAGTTGCTAGAGGCTGAGAAGGGGAAGGTGGGGATGGTTAATGGGCAAAAAAAAAAAAAGAAAAGAAAAAAATGAGTAAGACCTACTATTTGATAGCACAATAGGATTACTGTAGTCAATAACAACTTGATTGTACATTTAAAAATAAAGAATGTAATTGGGTTGTTTGTAACTCAAAGGGTAAATTCTTGAGGGGATGGATACCCCATTCTCCATGATTTGCTTATTTCACATTGCATGCTTATATCAAAATATCTCATGTACCCCATAAATATATATACTTATGTATATATGCACTGCCCCCAATTTTTTTTTTTTTTTTTGAGATGGAGTCTTGCTCTCGCCTGGGCTGGTGTGAAGTGGTTCGATCTCGGCTCACTGCAACCTTCACCTCCTGGGTTCAAATGATTCTTCTCCCTCAGCCTCCTGAGTAGCTGGGACTAGAGGCACCCGCCACCATGCCTAGCTACATTTTTTGTATTTTTAGTGGAGACACGGTTTCACCATGTTGGCCAGGATGGTCTTGATCTCCTGACCTCGTGATCTGCCCGCCTCGGCCTCCCAAAGTGTTGGGATTACAGGCGTGAGCCACTGTGCCCGGCCAATGTTTTATGTATTTAAAACATAAAAACATAGTTATTTTATATATTTAATGATTGTTTCTAAGTTTTCTTTAGTGATTTGTCTGGTAGTGTTCCTGTCAGTTTATTCTTTATTGAATTCATCTCTTCTTATTTTTAAGGTATTTTAATATATTAAGGATATGGAATTTTTGACTGATGTTACAAATACTTTTCACCAATTGATTTTTAAGGATTTCCAAATAAATGGTCAGAATAATCAAATTTTAGCCTTAAGGGAGTGTTTCATTTAGTTTTAGTTTATTTTCTAAGAAATGTGATAAATGAAATTTTTGAAGAGAGCAGATATTTGGTGATGTATGTAACATCTTTGACGTTTATTTTTATTTATTTATTTTTGAGACAGGGTCTTGTTCTGTCACCCAGGCAGAGTGCAGTAGTACAATCACAGCTCACTGCAGCCCCGACCTCCTGGGCTCAAGCCATCCTCCTGCCTCAGTCTCCCAAGTAGCTGGGACCACAGGTGCGTGCCACCATGCCCAGCTAATTATTGTATTTTTATTTTGTAGAGATGGGGTTTTGCCTTGTTGCCCTGGCTGGTCTCACACTCCTGGGCTCATGTGATATGCCTACCTCGGCCTCCTAGATTGTTGGAATTACAGGCATGAGCTACCATACCCAGCAATCTTTGACCTTTAGATTTTAACTTTGCTGCCTTAAAGATTTTGAAAAGTGAAATAAAGTGTTTTGTACAGATATACTGTATATATTCTAGGCTGATAACAACTCGTACCAGGGAAGAAAGATTAGCAAGTTTTGAATTATACATTTGTATATTTTGCTGTTTATGAGGTTGTTTTGAGCTGTTCATTTCAGTAAAGGTTTCTTCGTTAACAATAACCTTAGTAAAGGAAAGAGTATTTTGATTTCAGTAGTGTGTTGGAATTTAGCTTTGGTGTTTGACTGCTGAAAACTGTGATCAAAGTTGGTCATTACTTATGTGATTAATTTGGGAAAGAAGTGACTAAACTGAAATATACTTAACATTTTCATTATGGTAATGACTGCTGTAGTGGTTTTCTGTGTATACCTTTGTATACATTTTTTATTTCATCAAGATAAATTCCAAAATGTAGAATTCCTTGTTCAAAGAATATGTACATTTTTATAGCTTTTGATACATACTACCAAATGACTTTTGAAAGTAGTTCATATAATACATACTTTTATTATCAGTAGATGAGTGTCTTTTTTTAATACTTCAACATTGGATGTATTTTTTAAGAGTCATTATCGGTTTGGTAGTTGAAATATGATAGTGCTGTTTAATGGTAATTTCTTGGATTACTACTGAGACTCTTTTTTTATGTTTAATGACTATTTCTAAATTTTTAAAAATGATTTGCTTCATGATGTTCTCTGTCAGTTTATTCCTTATTGAATTCATCTATATTTTTATTTTTAACACATTTCAATATATTATTAATATATTAAAGAGTACGGATCCCTTGATTGATGTTACAAATACTTTTCCCTAATTTGCTTTTATGTCAGGCTTATTTTTCAATAATAAAGTAGTTAGGATTTTATGCCTTTATATCAAAATGAAAATTTGTGTTTTATTTTACCAGCCTTTGGAAACCGATCTTGGTATTATAATTTTAAAATTGGAGGCAGTTCCAAAGTACATGAATAAAATCTTTGTATTTGACTGTTCAAATTCTTAATTTGAAAATTAAAAAAAATGAAGTAGTCATATGAAACTAATTTACTATGTTTCGTTGCCAAACTTGGTCTTTCTAGGCAGTTATACTTAAGCATGAACATTGACGACAAACTGGAAGGATTGTTTCTTAAATGTGGCGGCATAGACGAAATGCAGTCTTCCAGGACAATGGTTGTAATGGGTGGAGTGTCTGGCCAGTCTACTGTGTCTGGAGAGCTGCAGGATTCAGTACTTCAAGATCGAAGTATGCCTCACCAGGAGATCCTTGCTGCAGATGAAGTGTTACAAGAAAGTGAAATGAGACAACAGGATATGATATCACATGATGAACTCATGGTCCACGAGGAGACAGTGAAAAATGATGAGGAGCAGATGGAAACACATGAAAGACTTCCTCAAGGACTACAATATGCACTTAATGTTCCTGTAAGTAATTCCTTTATAGGATACTAAACTTAGAAACATAATTTCTTGTTAAATAATACTGCAAGTCATCGAAGAAATTTCAGGAAGTGTTTCAGGGATAAATAGTGTTCTTGAATAGACATACTAAAATATTGACATAAATCATATTTGAAAGGCAAAATTAAGTTCTTATATTATTTTAGAAGCTTATTTCTTTCAGGATAACAGTATTTATGTATCAGGATTACTTGGGTATTAAATTTTAAATGCTTAATTTTGAAAGATACTTTATTTAACTTCTAGGCTTGTCCTTAAAGAGTAAAACATTTGAATCTTCAACATAACTAGAAAAAGATCACACATTCAAGGGTTTTTCCTTCGAATTCTGTAATTCCTGCCTTCTTAAATTTTTCTAATATGCTCTTATTCTCTGTTCTCTTTGTGTTCTCCACTTGCTTGATCTGTTTATCTTTTTAAAGTATATCAGCCCTTTACTTTTTCCTGTCTACCCCAGACATTAAGATGTTTCATAAGCGCCCATATCTTTTTCCTTCTTCTACCTTTATTTTTACCCAGTAATCAGTGAAACCACAACCATCATGTAAATTCTTGTCTCTTCTTTCTATGATATCAAACCTGGGTTCCTTTCAGTTCATCTAACATGTACTTTTTTTTTAAATTTAAGACTTTAATATATCCTGCTTGAGATAATACCGTCAGTCATACCTCATACCTGTTTTATAACCTGTAGATATAAGTTGACTTCTTCTTCTTAACTCTAGGTTGAGTCCCTGTGACAGGGACTTGTGATTTACTTGTACGATGTTTCTCTGATAGATTGTAGACTGTAAGGACAGGAGTTTTGTCTTACTTTTCACTGTAGTCCAGGTGTTGGCACATGGTGTGAATGAATGGATAACTACTTGTAGTTGTGCTCTGATATAGACGTTCACCAGCTTTACCTAGCCCATTGCAATAACTTTTTCCTCTTTAGCCTGTTGATGTGATGGATTACATTAATTGATTTTTTTATGTGGAAGCAACTTTCTTACCTGGAATAAATCCTGCTTGTTTGTGGTATATAGTTCTTTTTAAATGTGGTTGGATTTGATTTGATAATATTTTGAGGATTTTTACATTTGTGTTCTTGATAAATATTAGTCTATATTTTCCTGATGTCTTTGTCTGTTTTTGGTATTAGGGTAATACTGATCTCATAGAATAAATTAGCAAGTATTCCCTCTGCTTATGTCTTCTGGAAGAGATTGTAGAGAATTAATATAATTTCTTCCTTAAATGTTTGGTAGAATTCACCAGTGAACTGCTTTGGGTCTGGTGCTTTCTGTTTTGGAAGGTTATTGTTGATTCGATTTCTCCTATAAATGTAGGTCTCTTCAGATTATGTAATTCTTCTTGTGTGAGTTTTGACAGATTGTGTCTTTCAAGGAATTGGTCCATTTTGATAAAGTTGTCAAATTTGTGGGAACAAAGTTCATAGTATTCTTTTATTATCCTTTTAATGTCCAGGGGTTTATAGTGATGTCCTCTCTTTCATTTCTGATATTAGTAATTTGTGTTTTCTCTTTTTTGTTTGTTTTAAGACAGTAATTTAAAAAAATTACTGTCTTAATTCCTTTTTTTTTTTGGTGAAGTATCATTTAACTGAGTTAAATTATATAGGGTTTTTTTGGGTCTGTAATTGATGTACATTTGATTTTAAAAAGACACTGTTTGCCTTATATCAGGACAAAGAAGATTTACATACAACTATCAGCAGAAAAACAAAGTTTCTCTGTGATCTAAGCAGAGGTACTCTTTTCCTTGATCTTAAGAAAATGCAGTATTTTTAGAAGGTAAAGCTATTAAGATTACAGAAGTTTTACCAAAATGCTTTAAGCAAAAACTCTTTAAGAAAAAAGTATGAGTTCTCATTTTCTATTCTTAGCATAAATTTTAATTCTTTCTGGTAGAACCTAAGTCTTCTGAATGCCTGTTAGCATCATCCAAAGCTTGAACTTCTTCTATTTCTGGATTAAAAATTCATTCACAAATGAGCTGTGCAATGCGATCACTTTTTCTGACTTTAAACTTTTCTTTGCCAAAATTAAACAGTACAGCACCAACATTTCCTCAGTAATCTTCGTCTATGACACCAGTTCCTACATCGATAAAGTGTTTTGCAGCCAAGCCAGACTATGGAGCCACTCTTCTATAAAACCCAGAAGGAAGAGCTATATGAATGCCCATTTTCACTGTAGCTTTCTCCGTAGGTGGTATTGTATCATCGTAGGCACCGTCGAGGTCATAGCCTTTGGGCTGTGTGGATCCCGGAGTCAGGGTTGTGGCCTGCTCAGAGAGTGAGGCAAAACGGAGCTGCATGCTGCCCTCCTCTGCAAACCAGGCCTGTTTGCCGGGGGTAATGATGGGTGTCTCTTCAGAGCAGGGCATGGCAGAGTGAGAATGCGAGCAGAGGAGAGAGCAACAATTTTTAAGTGTCCATTTTCGTAGCGTAAACTATATTGACATTGTTGTACAACAGATCTCTAGAACTTTTTCATCTTGCAAAACTGAAACTGAAACTCATATTCGAATAACTCTGCATTTCCCCCTGCCCAGTGGTAGAGGCTTGCTCATTTTACTGATATTTTCAAAGAAACGGCTTTTGGTTTTCTTGATTTTTTTTTTTTTTTTAACTCTATTTCCTATTTTCAGTTTCATTTATTTCTACTCTCATTTTTATTATTTTTTTCTGCTTGTTTTGGATTTACTTTGCTCTTCTTGTTTTACTTTCCTAAAGTGGAAGTGTATTCACTTTAGATTTTTTGTTTCTAATATATACATTCATACTATAAATTTTCCTCTAAGCACTGCTTTAGATACATTGCACACATGTTGATAGTTGTGTTTTTATTTTCGTTTAGTTCAATATATTCTAAAATGTCTTAAGATTCCTTCTTTGGACTGGGTGTGGTGGCTCACGCCTATAATCTTGGTACTTTGGGAGGCTAAAGTGGGTGGATCACTTGAGCTCAGGAGTTTGAGACCAGCCTGGGCAACACAACAAAACCCCCATCTCTACTAAAAATACAAAAATTAGCCGGGCATGTGGCATGCACTTGTAATCCCGGCTATGTGGGAGACTGAGGCATGAGAATCACTTGAACTCTGGAGGCAGAGGTTGCAGTAAGCCAAGATTGCGCCACTGCACTCCAGCCTGGGTGACAGAGCGAAACTCTATCTTAAAAAACAAAACAAAACAACAAAAAACAAACTTCTTTGCACCATTATTGTTTAGAAGTGTGTCGTTTAATATCCAAGTATTTTGAAATATTTTCTAGCTACCATTCTGTTATTTAGTTCTAGTTTAATTCTCTTGTAGTCTTAGAGCAGACGCCGTGTGATTGCTATTCTGTTAAGTTTATTAGATTGTGTTTTATGGCCCAGAATGTTGTCCACCTTGGTGCAATGTTATGTGTGAGCTTTTAAAGAGTGCGCATTCTGTTTTTGTTGAATGAGGTAGTCTATAGATTGCAATAGACTGACATTTTTATTGGACTGACAGTAGCCTGAGCCTTCTCCAGTGTATCTTTCAGATAGTTTCTACTGTCATCTTTCCAAATGAGATGTATACATGTCATTCCCTTACTGAAACTTCTCTAGTGGTTCCTCATTACTAAACAGCTAAAATGTACTTATTTGCATGGGCGGAAATAGCCATCATACTCCTGTCCCTTATCCAACTTTTTTTTTAAAACTGTAGTTCAGCCCCTTTCCCCACCATTTTATGCTTTAAGCATATGAAATTAATTTAGTTGCCTAGGTCCACTATGGTTTTTTTTCTGTTACTTTTGTTAATGTCGTATATGCCTATAATATTATTTATTTGGCAATTTCCTGTTGTTCACGTTTCACCTTAAAAGATTTCTCTTTCTTGTGATTTTCTTTATGGTAACTACAATAACTTTGCATTTCCTTGCTTGCAGGACTGTCTTGTCATTATATTTTAAGATTTTTTTTCTGTATCGTGCCTTTAAATTTTGTGTTTTCAATACCTGGGTTATAGTAGGCAGATTGTTTTTGAGTGAAAATATGCATTCTGTTTTTAATTGAGGAAAAGTTTAAAGTGAAATGCTCAGATTCTGAGTTTGTAGTTCAGAGTTTTGACAACTGCATAAACTTGTATAATCCATAATCCATCAAGACACCAAATGTTTTTGTCATCCTGAGGAGTTTTTTTGTAATTCTTGCCAGTCAATTCCCTCTACAACAATTGTTCTCATATTTTTTCTTCATAAATTGTCATTGTCCCTTGAGAACCTCATGTAAATGGAGTTATATGTAACTCTTGTGTCTGACTGCTTTTGCACAACATGTTTTGAGATTCATCCATGTTGGTTGAATGTATCAACAGTTCATTCTTTTTCCCTATTGATTAATGTTCAGTCATTTTAATTAATATCTTAAAATTTATTTATTCATTTTCCTTTTTGTGGTTATTTGTGTTGTCTCTTTCAATGATTATGAATAAAGCGGTTAGGAAAATTGTTGTACAAGTCTTTTTTTCATTTCTCTTGGTACATGTTCGTGTAAGTCTTAGTTCTCTTGGGTTTTCATTGATGGACCTAGTGTCTGTCTTTAAATCAGTATCATACTGTTTTGATTGCTGTATCTTTTATAGTAAATATTGAAATCAAGTTGTGTAAGTCCTCCATTTTTGTTGTTCTTTTGTAATGCTGTAGTGACTATGTTAGGACCTTTGCATTTTCATATAAAATATAGAATCCACCCTTTAGGTTTTTTTTTGTTTTTTGTTTTTGTTTTTTGTTTGTTTGTTTTTTTGTTTTTTTAAAGCCAACTGGTTCTGATTGAGGTTGCATTGATTCTGTCTATTGACTTGATACAAACCAGCATCTAAACAATAATGGCTCCCAGTCCATGAACGTTGTACACCTTTACTTTTATTGAGGTTTTCTTTATTTCAGCATTGTTCTGTAGTTTTCAGTGTAAAGTTATTGGGCATA